CATCTCTCTTATGCTCTCTTTGGCTTCCACAAGTTAAAACAAAAGAAAGTTTTGTCTTTCTTTCATTTTATCCAGAGATCGCAAGGCATTTTCCTCACACAGTTTCGCCCCCCTTTCCTCATTATATGCCTTAGAAATTTCAATTGTCTTTTTCTGATTCTAAGTTGTGACAGAAGAATTATCGGTCAATTTTATTTTGAAACAGTGTAATTTGAGAAAAGTATTTTTTTTTCATTTGAACATGAGCTGTTGAATAGTTAAAGAGTTGTGTCCCTTTAATTGTTTTTAACTGTAGAAGCCAAGATGGTGGAACCCGAAAACAATCACAATAATGAAAACTTGGGAATTCAAAATTTCAGGATTTCGTTTAACGCTAACAATTTGGTCGATGAATATCGAATGTTTCATGTATGGAAACGGTTATTCTCATGATTACCATTGGTTGGCACTGTAAGTGGTTTTAATACAAGAATGTAATGTAAATGGTTTTGTTATAAGATTGCCCTGTCAGTTTTTTCTCTGTATCAATAGTAATAATGATAAATGATTGTGAAGAATGGAAAAATTATAAACGTTTTAAAAAAGTTTTCAGATTTCTATTTTAGACTTGCCAAAAGGATGCTTATACTTATAATCAGAAAGAAATGGTTTACATTTTTAGGGCAGATAATAAAGAAAGAGGGTTTGGAAAATTTGACGCACACAGAAGATAATGAAAAATGCATGGAAGAATTAAAACTAGCAAAATGAGAGTAAGGACACCGGGGAAGGATTAAGGGCCGGTCACGGGATCACCACCTATGAACGACTAAATACTGTAGATAATATAACAATGAAGATGAAAACATGAAGAACAACGGACAATTAGACAAGTGATTTTTCTCGTATGGTAATAGTAAAAATAGCCGTTTCCACACAGAAAACTTCAGGCATACATTGACTGAACAGACTGTCAGTTGAAATTTATATAAAAAAACCTTTTTCTTAAATCAGTTTTTCAGGAAATTAGACTTGTTAAGTCTTAGGGAAATCAATGACAAAGTGGAATTTTTTTTTTATGTGACCCGTTTTGTCCTTTAGGAGTTCATAGGACTAAAGTGGTGCTTGCATTGTTATGACTATACACGTAGGAAAGAGATAAAACACTGAAAAATTTCTTTTTTTCTTTTGCACCACCATTGCTTATCGCATTATAAGACCGTTGGGAGTTTCCCTCCAAACCTTTTGCTTTTGGTTATGTTGAAAGCTATCATTTTCATGATACCGATACTTTTCTCTTTGGTTTTGTAAAGTTTGTAATTTTGTAGCGTCAGTCTTTCGGATCGGATGAAGGATTGTTGTTTAAAGCAGAGGTCGGCAATCTACGGCACGCGTGTCACACATGGCACGCCAAGCAATTTCCAATGGCACGCAGTCGCAAATGACATCACAAAGCCAGAACCAATAACTACTACAACGCAAAGGAGGTATTTATCTGTTTCAAAACTGCTCACTCGTTGGACTCCCATTAATAATAAAAACTTAAAAAAAAAAAACTTTTAAAAACGGTTTCTTTCTATTAATGTGGTTTACATATCATTGTATATATTACTACAGTGGAACCTCGGTTCACGAATTTAATTCGTTCCAAAAGGCCGTTCGTAAGCCGAAATGTTCGTAAACCGAAACTATTTTTCCAATAGGAATCAATGTAGAGAAAAAAGTTACAGTACAAAATTGGAAAAAAAAAGAAGCCCAACACAACACACGAATGTATACAAAACGGCGGTCGACTCAGAAATTATTCCGTTCATGTTAACTCGATTCAGCAATGTTGTTCGAGAACCAAAAATTTATTCGATAGCCGAGGCATTTTCAACTCAAATTTTCTGTTCGAAAACCGATTTGTTCGATATGTGAGACATTCGAGAACCGGGACTGCACTGTATATAAAATATATTGTACAGCAGGCATATTGACCTTGACTTGTCTAAAAATACGTATCCTGTTGGCACACGGAATGATTTTAAAACCTTAAGTCGGCAAAAAGAAAAAGTTTGCCGACCCCTGGTTTAAGTATAGAATTGATTGATTTTGTTTTTAATTTATAAATAATATTGCATGACTATTAATGGCAACTGTGAAATTATCCGTTTCCGTACAAAAAAAAAACAAAAAAAAACAGTTGATGTCACAGCCGGCTGAAATTTATAAAATCTGATTTGATTTGATTTGTTTTTGAAGTGTTCAAGTGTTGTAGGTTTTTGTAATTTGGCATGTTTAGTTTTGTAGCGTCAGTTTACACCAGTGATTCTCAAGCGGGGTTCACGTAACATTGCTGCGGTCCACACAAAAAATAGCAAATTGGGGGTTCACGGTAATAATTTAGTGGTCTATAGAGCAATTTCCCTTCGGAGCAATTGTTACAACTCAGAATTGGAAATTCTCTATTCTACGCCATATTAAACTACCAAAAATAGAAAAAAAAAAACAAACTCCAAAACTAGCAGAAGACAAGATCAATCGATGTATGTTAGCGTCTCTTTTACTCTACCGGATGTTTTGATTGTAAAAGTTGAATAAAAACTGAGAAAGATATATAAAGGAAGGATTATATATATAAAGAAAATTATATAAAAATCATAATTTGTTATATAAATTAATTTAATATATTAATAAAAAAATAATAATATTAATTTTAAATATTAATAAAATAAAATATTAATATATTGATATAAATTAATTAATACAGTAATAGATTTAACTTTGTAAAAGGGTTGATCTTCGACTATCATTGACATTGATGGACCCGAATATATATATATATATATATATATATATATATATATATATATAAACTCATAGAGCACGATCGACCGTAGGGATCTGATTGAATAAATCTGTTCTTTTCTCAAAGACAGATTGGTCCGATCTAGTGTCCTCAAGGATACATGATCCAGTGGATAAAAGCGTTTGTGTAATCCAGTGACTTGACCCAAAGCTTTGTGAGTTCAACACCTGGCTGCTGCAGAGGTAAACTAAAAGAACTTGGAAGAGCTGAGTTATAGCGTGATAACTAAGACATCTGGAAGAGGCATGGTGCGTAGAACTAGAACAATCTACCCCGCTGGACGAAATAAAGAGTACAGTTTGAAATTCTAATCAACTGAAGAAGACCGGAGCGTGCAACGGCCGAAACGTTGGGAATATGGCAACAAAGATGAGGACATCATTACGAAAAATGTAAATAACGAGTTACTTGTGTTGTTCGTTTTACTGCTATTAAAAGCCCTCAAGTGATGTGGGTCCAGTTCTTTGTCACAGTTCTTAGTGATTCTGTAGCGAAAGATCCCGGGGTTCAAAGAAAGATGGTCCTCTCCAAGACAGATTTCATTCGCTCAAAGCTATATTTAATCAACGATTGGATACGCTTGACAGCTTAGAAATTTCTGAACGGGTTAGACGCCATGCTTGACATCCATATGAAAGTTTCGATTTGACGAAGCTATTTCTGTTGGGTTTTTGACGGCACGTCGCTAAGAAACGTAATGTAAGTAGTGTAAATAATTACAATAATCTCGACGGATATTCATTAAATTAGTTTTACTTAAAAATGAAGCATAGATATTTACTATTTCTATAATACACTTCCTTAATCTATCTATTAGTAAAAAAAAAAAAGAAGCTTTTTTATCGAATGGTTATGGGATCCACAAAAAAAAAATGAAAACTAAAATTGGTCCATGGTTAAAAAAAAGTTTGAGAATCACTGCTTTACACGGTCGGATGAAGAATCGTAACTGAAAAGTAAAATTTCAATGACTGTTCGTTTTTTACGACTTATCAACCCTTTGCAGTTTATTTAAAGCCAGAAAATAGATTGTAAGTTCTTTTTAGATAATAATGGTTTAGTGATACAAGTTTTACTAATTAACCTATAGTTCTAGGGGGAGAGGACGATTAATATATTTCCCAAGAGTATCTGCGTGTAAGTGAATATAATGAACCTAACTGGAACTGGAACTCGGTACTCCGATTAACACTTGGCATTCCAAAGCGGTCACCCGTCCAGGTACTGACCAGGCTCGACGTTGCTAAATTTCGGTGAATGTTCGGGAACCGGTATTTCAACGTGATGTGGCCGTAAGCCGAGAGAGAGAGAGAGAGAGAGAGAGAGAGAGAGAAAGAGAGATAGAGAGAGAGGTAAAGAACAAGATAAGGATTGATTGAAGGATGAAGACACGAGTGAGTGCTTGAGTGGGGGGAGTAGTGAGAGGAAAGTTAGGAAAATAAGAACCGGGGTCAGGGAGGGGTAAAGATAAGAAATTAGGGGAACAAAGAGAAATTACGAGTGTGAGAATTAGGATGTGAGGGAAGGAAAGGCCGAAGAAGAATAGAAACTGGGTTTTAAGGTATCGATTGAAGAGAAGGTTGAAAGGAGAAAGAAACAAAACAGAAGGAGGGGTAAGGAGAAGGTAAGAAACCTCGTGGGTGAGATGTGAGTGTAGTGTGTGTGGGGGGGTTGGGTGTGAAAAATAAAGGTAAAAGGTTAGGGCGACGTCCTCCTAACAGAATAGAACGCCATAAGAAGCAAAATAAATAAATACACAAACAAACAAACAAAAGCAATCAATAAATAAAATATAAGTGAATAAACATCGTAAATACATTACTGGGGCATATTTTATATATATATATATATATATATATATATATATATATATATATATATATATATATATATATATATATTCATGTGTGTGGAAGATGTATTTTTCTCACCCTCTCGACGGAGTTGTAATTTTTTCCTCTGGAAAACTTGAATAACTCACAGGAAATTGAAAGGTTCAGAGGTGAAGATCAGGATGAAAGTATGTTGAGTTCGTGTCGAAACCTCTCACTTTGCAGCCGAACTAGATATGCCAAAATAGACATTCCAAATTTATTTATTTATTTTTCGGCGGAAAGGTAAGGGGTCGGTTCGTATAAAAAAAATGTGACGGAGAAGTTGTCGAAAAGGTATGTATTTATTCCACCTCATCCCGATTGTGTCCCTTCGTGTTGCCTATGTATATTCTCTTCATCTTTTCCGTTGTATACTTTTCTTTTTCTGCCTCTGTACTATTGCTCTTCATCTTTTAATTCCAACCCGTCATTTTCATTGTTCGCCTTGTTGTTTTTCTTCTCCGCCCCCCACCATTGATATTTAGTGAATATGGCTTAGTTTGGTACAAGGCCAGAAAAATTGGGCATTCCGCGTGGACTATTGCTCTTCATCTTTTAATTCCAACCCGTCATTTTCATTGTTCGCCTTGCTGGTTTTCTTCCCCCGCAACCATTGATATTTAGTGAATATGGCTTAGTTTGATACAAGGCCATAAAAATTGAGTATTCCGCGTGGACAGAACTCACTAGACCAGTCGATGAGAATAGCGTCAGAACGAAATGTATCGTCCAGGTTATTTTTAGCTTTGGTTTATACAGAGCCATAATAAAGTATGAACAACTAATAATAATAATAATAATAATAATTATAATAATGATAATAATGATGATAATAATGATGATGATGATGATGATATTATTATTATTATTATTACTACTACTACTACTACTATTATTGCTGTGGTTGATTCTTCTTATTATTCTTATTTTTCTTCTTCTAGTTTCTTTATCTTCGTTTTTTCTCCACATTCTTTCCCCACTATCTTTCCTTTTGTTCTTTGTCCTCCTCCAACTTCTTCAACAAATATGTTTCTGTCTGTTCCCTCAACTTTCTTTCGCTTCTTCTTCTACTTCCTCACTTTCTTGTGCACTGCAATTTGTTCTCCGTCTTCTTTTTCATTGCTGTTTCTCTTCCTCCTCCATTTTTTTCGAATTCATTCATTTTCTTCTTCTTCTTCTTATTATTATTCATTTATTTATTTATTGACTTCGAACTTTTCAATTCCTTTTCTCCATATTTCTATTTCTATTGTCTTTCCTTATCTTTCCCTCTCTTTTCTTATCATCAGTTTTTTACAAGTAATTTTTCCTGATCCCCCCCCACCTCTCTATTTTAACTTCTGCTTCTCTAACCTTTTCTCTTATGGTTTGATTTCATTTTATCCTCACTTTCTTTTCATGTTCTGCTTTTAGAATTTCTTTTTTTCTGTTTTCTCCTCTCGATTTTTTCTTCTACTTTTTCACCCTATTTTTCTTTTTTCTTCTTCGCGCCTCTAATTTTTTTTTTCGCCTTCTTTTGCTTTCACGTCACTGCTCTCTTCTTTTCCCTCTTTTTACAATTTCTTTTTTGGTTTCTCTTTTTTTTTCCCTGCTTTTCAAAGCTCTTTTCTTCTTTCTCTCCTCTATTTTGTTTCTATCTTCTACTTTTCTCTCTTTTATGTCGATTCATTTTCTTTTTCCTTCTCCCCTCTCTTTTTATTATCTACTTTTAAAACTTTCTCGTCTTTGCCTGTCCCTCCTACTCGCCCCTTTTTTTAATCTTATTTTTAAAGTTCTTTTACCGAATAGTCCTCCTCCTCTCTACGTTTTATCTCCTACTTTTACAATCACTCTCTCACTCTCTCTCTCTTTCAGTTCTTGTCCTCTTGCTCGTTCCCTCTCTTTTTGAATCTTCTTTTTCAAGTTCTTTTCCGTGTACTCCCCCTCCTTTTATTTTTCTACATCACAATCATTCTCTCTCTCTCTCTCAGTCCTCCTCCTCTTCCCCATTCTCTCTCTTTTTGATCGTCTTCTTTTTTAAGTTCTTTTCCATGTAGTCCCCTCCTTTTATTTTATCTCCTACTTTTACAATCTCTCTCCCTCTCTCTTAGTTCTCCTCCTCTTCCCCATTCTCTCTCTTTTTGATCGTCTTCTTTTTAAAGTTCTTTTCCATGTACTCCCCCCTCCTTTTATTTTTTTATCTCCTACTTTTACAATCTCTGCCTCTCTCTTAGTTCTCTTCCTCTTCCCATTCTCTCTCTCTTTTTGATCGTCTTCTTTTTAAAGTTCTTTTCCATGTACTCCCCCTCCTTTTACTTTATCTCCTACTTTTTACAATTTCTCTCCTCTCTTAGTTCTCTTCCTCTTCCTCATTCTCTCTCTTTTGATCGTCTTCTTTTTTAAGTTCTTTTCCATGTAGTCCCCCTCCTTTTATTTTTATCTCCTACTTTTACAATCTCTCTCCCTCTCTCTTAGTTCTCCTCCTCTTCCCCATTCTCTCTCTTTTTGATCGTCTTCTTTTTAAAGTTCTTTTCCATGTACTCCCCCTCCTTTTATTTTTATCTCCTACTTTTACAATTTCTCTCCCTCTCTCTTAGTTCTCTTCCTCTTCCTCATTCTCTCTCTTTTTGATCGTCTTCTTTTTTAAGTTCTTTTCCATGTACTCCCCCTCCTTTTATTTTTATCTCCTACTTTTACAATCTCTCTCCCTCTCTCTTAGTTCTCCTCCTCTTCCCCATTCTCTCTCTTTTTGATCGTCTTCTTTTTTAAGTTCTTTTCCATGTACTCCCCCTCCTTTTATTTTTATCTCCTACTTTTACAATCTCTCTCCCTCTCTCTTAGTTCTCTTCCTCTTCCTCATTATCTCTCGTTTTGATCGTCTGCTTTTCAAAGTTCTTTTTCCGTATACTCCTCCTCCCTTTATTTTTTATCTCCTACTTTTACACTCACTCCTTCTCTTTTAGTTCTCCTCCTCGTTCCCTTTCCCTCTATTTTTGAACTTCTCTCTCTTTCCGATTGTTTCTTTTCTTTTCCTTTCTTTCTTTTGCCTATTTGCTTCTTGTTTCTGGAGACACCTTGAGGATGAATAGTTAGTCTTAAAAATGACTCTTTGAGGGGGGGGGCACGGGGTGCAGGCTTATGCAAGGGGAATCGTTGGGGCGGGGTTTAATGGCAGGGAAATTTAGATTTTTGCGAAGATTTCCAACTAACATTCCGTGAACCCTCGGGCATTACTCGCTAATATTTCTTATGCTTGGCGATGTTCACTTAATTTCAAAACGAGAGAGAAATAAGGAATGGCGACAAAAAAAGAAAAAAAAAGAAGCAGAGTGTGTAGTTCTGATGTGGGCGTACGTCGTGATGACTCTAGTTGAAAGAGTCTGCATTTTACGAGTGCACTATCTGCGTGAGGGCGTGCGTACATTACTGAATAGGCAAATAGATATGAACTTGATAAAAAAAAATGTATTGTAAGATACAAACAGAAATAGTGATACGGAGATCATTTATGTGTCTTCGAGGGACAGAGACAAACGAACAATTGATAGACATAGATTGATCTGAAAATTGTTTCTCTCATGAATATATATATATATATATATATATATATATATATATATATGTATGTATGTATGTATGTATGTAAAACTTTCTCAGAATTAACCCGTAGAAAAGACAATATGAAAACTGTAGTCGACGTGTTTCGTCCAATGTGGATATTTTGAAGGCAAAAGATGAAATGAATTTATTGAAACAAAAGTATCTATAAACAACAAAAAATGTTGTTAGCAACTAGAAGTTTTCTAAAATTCTTCTCTCTCTCTCTCTCTCTCTCTCTATATATATATATATATATATATATATATATATATATATATATATATATATATATAAAGGAAAAAAGACAATATGAAAACTGTACTTTTAACCGACGCGTTTCGTCCATTATGAAATTTTTGAAGGTAAAAAAACGAAATTCATTTATTGAAACAAAGTATCTATAAACAGCAAACAAAATGTCGTTAGCAACTAAATAAATTTAGAAACGCTATTGTATATTCTTTGGGTCAACTGAGAAATTACGTCAATTACTTTTTATGTTAGAAGAGAATATTTTCACGTGTAAAAATATTCTTTGCATTGTTGTGTTGACGGATTCAACTGTTTTCTTTAAATTTCTTGATATATTGTTGTGACTTGTAAGAGTATTGATTCTGTTAGGAAAAGTGATATTGGGAAAAAACCTGGGCGTAGATTAATATTTGGATAATATTTAATGACGGCACGCTCAAGGATTTTCCTTCTGAGTGAAGTATTTTCTTTTTAATGAGTGTAACATTTATAAAATCAAAATTGTGGTTGAATTTATATGTAATAAAGGGGTAATAAATCTTATAAACCGCACACAACCTTGGTTTCGACCGTCAGGTCTGTTCAGGAGTTTGGGTGGGGCTGGCAATATTTTTTTAATTTTTTAATATTTTCTTGCCCTGTATGTCTCTTTTCAATGCAGCTGCTTTTGAGCACTTTTTTGTATATACGTCCGCCGTCCTGTGCATGACGATAAGCTACATGCGCGTCCTGGGTAAGACGATAAACGACATTCGACAGCAAAGCCTTTGATCAGGAGGTTTTGAAGAGCGTGAAACCACCTCTTAATTGCTAGTGTTCCCAGGTCCACCGTGACCCGGGGTGGTAGCACTTGTTAGGGTCCCAGCTATAGGCAAATAGTTAACCCCAAACTGGGGTCTAAACACTATGAAAATGTAAAAATAGGTTTTAATCCCAGCAATAGATTTTTGCAAAAATATGGCGACCAGTAATGAATTTTTAAAGCGAAAAATTATTACCAGCAATACATTTTTGAAGGAAATATTATTACAAGAAAATCATTTTTGAAACAAAAATATTACCAGATAAAAATCTTGTCTACATTATTCAGACTATTGTCCTCATCTTTGTCGCCATATTTATTACAACGTTTCGGCCGTTGTACGCTCCGGCCTTCTTCAGGTGGTTGGAATGTCGAACTGAACTCTTTATTTTGCTCACTGGGGTAGACTGTTCTAGTTCCACGTGCCATGTTTAATGGATGTCAGTTATTAGTTATCTCCTAAAAAAAAAGGGTTCAGTTCGACATTCCAACCACCTGAGAAGGCCGGAGCGTACAACGGCCGAAACGTTGTAAAATATAGTGCGACAAAGATGAGGACAATAGTCCGAATAATGTAAATAGTGTACATAATAACTCATCTCAGAAATATAGACAACAATCTTGTCGGCATTAAATAACCCACAGAGGTTGATATGCCGTAAAACAAACCAAACCAAACCAAACCTATATACGCCCGTTTTTTGGTACGGTATTTTTTTCCGGCGTCTTAACAAATTTATATGTATATATATATGTATATGATCAAATATTTTATAGCACTGAATTTATATATTGTTTTAAAAGTGACGGGGCGCATTCTTTAAAAGGAACCTTTCCAGCCAACACTCTTTCAGAAATATTCGCTACCCCCCCAAAAAAAAACGAACATACAAAAGTTGATTATAAAGGATGAAACTGAACCAGTGAGTAAAGAAGAAGCTCCATTAAAAGATGAGACAACAAAGGACGCAAAGTGGGGTTGACACAAAATAGGAATTTATTTTTTATTACAATACTTAATACTTAATCATTTCTATCTCTCCCTTACCTCTCTAATTTCGACCATGTCTGTCACACTCTCTCTCGCCACTCTCAATATCACATTACATCAACTTAATACTACCCCTCAAAAGTGCAAAAATATATGTAAATTTAAATTCATTTTTTCACCCCTGGAAGTGTGGTCTGATGAGCCAGGGAAAAAGAATTCCCTGCCTAAATAAATTATAAGCAGTGAGACCTTACAGTTGTCTCGTTTTATTAAATTAATAAAAAAAAACAACTCCGGAAATAAAAATAGAATTTAGAGAGAGTGTAAGTATGAGGGGGAGGGACAAATGTTAGAGCTAAAGAGATGGGTAACAGACGAGAGAAGGTGGGAGATTAAAACTTAACAGAGAGCAGTTTTATAGAGGGGAGTGGAAGGGGGAAATATGAATTTTGTCGGATGTCTAATACATTAAAGATGTAACCTGAAAGGATACATTTTGGGGGTTTTTCTATTTTCTTTTTGAATTTGTAGGTCTGATGAATTGGATCGTATTTACGATTCCAATGGTATAAATTATGACCGTGGAATATTAGTGTTTAAGCCTTTTTATTATATATATATATAACGCAAGCTTCTTCACCTAAAGATTGTGTTCAGGGATGAAACAGACTTTTTCTCTTTTTAGTACTGGTTGGGGTTTCTTTCTCAACCTTTTTTAAATGTTTAAATTTAACATTATTTTTTCTTATCGAGTTACATGGGCCATTCATTTTGCTGCTATTAAAAGTCCCCAAGTGATGCGGTTTCTGTTGGCACAGCTAATAGTAATGTTAGCCGTTTCCTTATAAGGAAACATTCGATATTCATTGATTCAGTGCTACTGTCGGTTGAAGTTTATAAAATCTTTCTATGAAAATAATTTCTTGAGAAAATAGTTTTCTCATGTCCACTACCTGTTATCGCTCTTTCATATACTGACGGGGGTTTCCTTTCTAGCTTTCTCTTTAACATAGTGCGGAATGTCAGAGTCTTGATCATGCTATTAATTTTTTCTTATCGAGTAACGTGTCTGTCTCTATTTCTGAGATGAGAAATTGAAATTATCTACATTTTTCGGACTTTTATCCTGATCTTTGTTGCCATATTCACGGCATTTCGGCCGTTGTACGCTCTGGCCTTCTTCTGGTGACTGGAATTTCGAACTGCACCTTTTTATTTCGTCCACCAGTGCAGATTGTTCTAGTTCCACGTGCCTCTTCTAGATGTCTCAGTTATCTCCCTTTAACTGAACTCTCCAATTTCTTTTTATTCACTACTCCAGTAGCCAGGTGTTGAACTCACAAGTCTTTCGGTCAAGTCATTGGATACAACCAACGCTTTTATCCACTGGGCCATGTGTCCTTGGAGAGTTGAGTTAAAGCGAGGTTTTTTTTATGTTCATAAGTGCTTTTTATAGTTACAAATATTTAAATAAATGCTCTGCTTATAATAAATAATTCAGGTCGGTAAATGTTGTTAATACTGTTTTATATTATAAACAGAGCATTTACTTAAATATTTGTATCTATAAAAAGAACGTATAAACATAAAAATGTCTTAATATATATATAAAAAAAGAAAGAGCTAGAAACATGAAAATCCGTCGAAAAAAATCGCACAGATACAGGTTTAAAGCCCAAAGAAAAAACCCTGACACGAGTAAAACTTTCCCTGACGATCCGCTTAGGTGAAACCTGGGTAGGTTTGTCTGGCTCACTAGGTTTATCTATCTATCTATCTATCTATCTATCTATCTATATATATATATATATATATATATATTTGGTTGGATTGATCAATCAATGAAATTGCAATGAAATATAGCAAATCAATGTATTGACGTAATAATACAATTGGTAATACGGTTAGTAGACCCAGAAATGCGGTTAGTAGCAACAATAATATATATACAGTCTGGGAAATTCAGTATCGAAGTATGACTTTCTTCTGAGTCTACGTGCTCGCAACTGTGACTCCTACAAAGCGGTTACCTCATACTCCCACTGTGTCACTGTATCACTCCTCTCCCGGGTATTCACCGGCAGCAGTACGTACGTACACTGAGCGAGTCCACTTGTATAAAAAGGGTGGACCCTTAACATACATTATATATATATATATATATATATATATATATATATATATATATATATATGGGGATCATTGTGACTTTAAACAGCTACTCACAAACAATCCCAAAAGACCAGCAAAATCAAACAGAAAAACAAACTGATGATATTCGAAGCAAGACTCATACAACAAAAGCAACCATTTATAAATAGAAACAATTATAATTTATGAGCTCACATCCAAAAATGTACATAAAAAAAAAGAATAGTCATAAACAAACAGGCTCCCGTCACACCTCGCCTACGTCGAAACACTTTTTGCTCAC